AAGGGAAAGTTCACCGAACTATCACAAAATGAATCGCAACTTACCCGAGCACCCAAATCAGTGAAAACACAAGTTTTGAAACATCAACACAAGGGGGAAGTTCACCGAACTATCACAAGGTGAATCGCAATTTACCCAAGCACCTAAATCAGTGAAAACACATATTTGAAGCATCAACACAAGGCAAAAGTTCACCGAATTATCACAAAATGAATAGCAACTTACCCAAGCACCTAAATCAGTAAAAACACAAGTTTTGAAGCATCAACACAAGGGGAAGTTCACCGAACTATCACAAGGTGAATCGCAACTTACCCAAGCACCCAAATAAGGGAAAACACAACTTTTGAATCATCAACACAAAGGGAAAGTTCACCGAACTATCACAAGGTGAATCGAAACTTACCCAAGCACCCAAATCAGTGAAAACACAAGTTTTGAAGCATCAACACAAAGGGAAAGTTCACCGAACTATCACAAGATGAATCGCAACTTACCTAAGCACTCAACTCAGTGAAAACACAAGTTTTGAACTATCAACACAAGGGGAAAGTTCACCGAACTATCACAAGATGAATCACAACTTACCCAAGCACCTAAATCAGTGAAAACACAACTTTTGAAACATCAACACAAGGGGAAAGTTCACCGAACTATCACAAGATGAATCGCAACTTACCCAAGCACCCAAATCAGTTAAAACACAAGATTTGAAGCATCAACACAAGGGAAAAGNCAAGATTTGAAGCATCAACACAAGGGAAAAGTTCACCGAACAATCACAAGATGAATCGCAACTTACCCAAGCAACCAAATCACTGAAAACACAAGATTTGAACCATCAACACAAGGGGGAAGTTCACCGAAATATCACAAGATGAATCGTAACTTACCCAAGCACCCAAATCAATGAAAACACAAGATTTGAAGCATCAACACAAGGGGGAAGTTCACCGAACTATCACAAGGTGAATCGCAACTTACCCAAGCATCTAAATCAGTGAGAATACAAGATTTGAAGCATCAACACAAGAGGGAAGTTCACCGAACTATCACAAGGTGAATCGCAACTTACCCAAGCACCCAAATCAATGAAAACACAAGTTTTGAAGCATCAACACAAAAGGAAAGTTCACCGAACTATCACAAGGTGAATCGCAACTTACATAAGCACCCAAATCAGTAAAAACACAAGTTTTGAAGCGTCAACACAATGGGGAAGTTCACCGAACTATCACAAGATTAATTGCAACTTACCCAAGCATCTAAATCAGTGAAAAAACAAGCTTTGAAGCATCAACACAAAGGGAAAGTTCACCGAACTATCACAAGGTGAATTGCAACTTACCCAAGCACCCAAATCAATGAAACACAAGTTTTGAAGCATGAACACGAGAGGAAAGTTCACCGAAATATTACAAGATGAATCGCAACTTACCCAAGCACCTAAATCAGTGAAAATTTTTTTTTGAAGCATCAACACAAGGGGAAATTTCACCGAACTATCACAAGGTGAATCGCAACTTACCCAAGCACCTAAATCAGTGAAAAAACAAGATTTAAAGCATCAACACAAGGGGAAAGTTCACGGAACTATCACAAGGTGAATCGCAACTTACCCAAGCAGCCAAATCAGTGAAAACACAAGTTCTGAAGCATCAACACAAGGGGAAAGTTCACCGAACTATCACAAGATGAATTGCAACTTACCCAAACACCCAAATCAGTGAAAACACAAGTTTTGAAGCATCAACCCAAAGGGAAAGTTCACCGAACTATCACAAGATGAATCGCAACTTACCCAAGCACCCAAATGAGTGAAAACACAAGATTTGAAGCATCAACACAAGGGGAAACTTCACCGAAGTATCACAAAATGAATCGCAAGTCACCCAAGCACCTACATCAGTGAAAACACAAGTTTTGAAGCATCAACACAAGGGGGAAGTTCACCGAACTATCACAAGGTGAATTAGAACTTACCCAATTACCCAAATCAGTGAAGACACAAGTTTTGAAGCATCAACACAAGGGGAAAGT